GATGAAGTTAAAATGTTAAGTTGTTTCTGTACATCTTTTACATATCTTGATATGTCAGCAGTGATGAAGTTGAAAAGTTAACAGTGTGTTTCTGTATATCGTTTACACATATTGATCTGTTATTATCTGTGTAGTGTATGAAGTATTTGATTCAAGCGACGCGACAAAACTTGGTTTATCTGTGTAGTGTATAAAGTATTTGTTTTAAGCAACAATTGTGGATTATCTGTGTAGTGTATGAAGTATTTGATTCAAGCGACGCGACAAAACTTGGTTTATCTGTTTAGTGTATGAAGTATTTGTTTTAAGCAACAATTGTGGATTATCTGTGTAGTGTATGAAGTATTTGTTTTAAGTAACAAAACTTGGTTTATCTGTGTTGTGTATGAATTGTTTGATTCAAGCGACAGAACTTGGTTTATCTGTGTAGTGTATGAAGTATTTGATTCAAGCAACCGAAATGGTTTATTTATTTCACCCAAAGCTATATATTTTGATATGCACACTGTTGTTAATTTGCCATTTACAAAACTTTGTTTTAATAAATACACATTTGTATAACATTAAAATCGTTTTGTTGTTAATTAGTACCCCACCTTACAATTAATGTTTTCCATGAATGCTCGTAGCTGTTATACAAAATATTTCAACCTATTACCAGAACAAACCCTCTTTAATTTGGTGTGTAAATGAATTATTAAGCATGGTATATTTTATCTGTGTGTTACATCGTGGTTCATCTAGTTGCAATATATGGATCAGCCATGATAGTTAGGATAAAGTAACAACAGATGCGACAGGACTTGCAATACTTAAGTTTCGAACACTTCCACTTTTATCCCGTGGTTTCTTTATTGAAACTGGTAATATTTAAAATGAGAGATTTATTATCATGACTCGGTGTTGTGTAGTAAACAGCGCACGTCAACATTTTGGTGAACTAGCTATCAAAAGTACGTTAGTTCAAATTTTTAATAATAAGATTCATGTATTTAAAAGCTTTATAATTACTCCAAGATACCTTAAGTAATAGAAATGTTAATGATTTTAAATGTTCAATACTGAAAGCAAATCAGTAAATATGAAACTTGGATAATTTATTTCGTAACCTAGCGTAATCAGTGAAGACAAATTGTACCTTTGTTATCTTGATTTAAATAAAAGTATCGGTTAATCTGTTGTTAGAAAGTTTGTCTTTAATTACAGCTTTTTATTTCGTTCTAAAATCAAATATTACATTCTAAATGTTTTAGTTGACTAGTTTAACTACATATATTCACAGCCTTTTTGTTAACTACAGACGAGACTCGAGTCTCTTTAGTTTGGTTCATTTTTTTTAACGAGCGGATTTGCAACTCGAAGGAATACTTGATTACAAGCAAACAGTTGAACAAAGTCGCGTGATCGAAAACATCGAACAACCAAAAATCTAAATGATTTACTTTAAATACTTTGTAATTTAAGCATACGACTTATCATCCATATCAGTGCTGACAGATCAATATGTGTAAACGATATACAGAAACACACTGTTAACTTTTCAACTTCATCACTGCTGACATATCAAGATATGTAAAAGATGTACAGAAACAAACTTAACATTTTAACTTCATCACTGCTGACATATCAAGATATGTAAAAGATGTACAGAAACAAACTTAACATTTTAACTTCATCACTGCTGACATATCAAGATATGTTAAACGATATACAGAAACAAACTTAACATTTTAACTTCATCACTGCTTTATCTGTGTGGTGTATGAAGTATTTGTTTTAAGCAACAATTGTGGACCACAATTGTTGCTTAAAACAAATACTTCATACTCTAATAGCTCTGTTCTAAAATTATAGAGTAAATGTTTCAAGTGCGTTTCTGGAGTCATACCTTCTGTAATATAATAAACTAACTCATATTGCTTTGTTGTAGGAATTCCACTGGTTTTACACACATTTGTTTTGCCAAATTCCAAGTGTCTGACTCTAAAGTTTTTTTTTTCATTTCATGATGTGTACATTTATATGTGAGACTATACATTTTTATTTTCATTATTGTATAACCTTATTTTTGTATAGTTATTTATTATTACTTACAAAAAGAAATTTGATAATCTCATACCTATATTTAATAATTCGTTTTAGGTTCAAATATAATAACAGTTTGTTGTAAACATCCAAAACAGTATTACAGAGAGAACTCAATTTTGATAAAGAAATCACTTTAGAATTGAAATACTGTACAAACTGTCTTGAAGCAAACAAATGAAAGGTTGAAATTACATTTTATTAAATGTACAAAAGATATCTGTTTTGAGTTAATTTTTTATGCATAAATAGTCTTTTATTTAAAATTGAATGTATTTAATACAGTTATAATATGTATTAAGAAGAATAAGATGTTTAACTAATGTGTTTCATTCAACACAACTTACCTGTTGTGTTTCAAAACTTGTGATTTCTGTATGATTTCTATGAAAGTTGTTTTAATTAATACATCTAAGTTAGATGTGTAGTCTATGAAATACTTTCTTGTGTCACCTTGTGGTTTATCTGAGTAGTGTTTGAAGTATGTGTTTCATGTAACACATTAAAGTTTATATCTGTGTAGTGTATGAAGTATTTGTTTCATGTGACACATTAAAGCTTATATCTGTGTAGTGACAGTAAACTTTCAAACTGGATAA